AAATATCAATAAAATCGGTTGAAGGGTTATTAAGATATTTACGAAAAAAACGATTTCTTTTAAAAATTTTGACACCCTGTATCTTGAAAACGAAGCATTACCGGACCTATGTTTATATGAACTTTTCGTCTTAGAATCACTCAAAGAATCACCCCTTCAAGTTTGGCCACGTACTTAAATAACACCCTGTATATCTAAATATCAACGAAAAAAATCAAGGGGTGATTCCTAGTGATATTCTAGCAAATAAAGTTCATATAAATATGTGTCTTAAGTTGCTCCGTTTTGAGATACAGGATGTTGAAGTTGGAAGTATTTATTGTTTTTATTTATAACCCTCCTGTATAACCTTCCATGGTGCCAAAATTCAGTATGGTTGGAGGCCGAGAAAGCCCCAAAATTTCAAAAGGATTCTAATTGGGGAAGTCTTGAAAACACGCCTACATTAAAATTTGGAGTCAAATCGAATTTTCATTGTTTCCTCAGATATTAAGCTAGATACAAACAAAAATTACACACAAAGGATAAAAAAGTTGTTATTTCAATAGTTCAATCTAATGAAAATATGAAACTCAAAAAAACCGGTGGAGTACAATGACATTCACCATAAATATCGATCAATTTACCCACTGTGGCGCCACTGGAAATATTATTTCGGATCTAATTGCACCTGAAGAAGCTCCATATCAATATTAACAAAACCACGTTTTATTGAAATTGATGGAAAGACAATTGAGTAATGAATAAAAATACAATTTTTCATGGAAATATTAATACCCTGTATTTCGAGAACTGAGCAAGTTGAGACACAGAAGGAATCCTCATAATGTTCAAAGAACATCGTGCGTTCCTAGGGAGGATAGGGATAAGAGGTAGGTATTGGAATTTTTTTTGAACTTCTGGAGATTATAATATGTTGTTGGGAATACTTCCTGATGTAATGAATTCCAGAGCCTAGCCGTTCTATGGATGAAGGAGTTTTGATAAAGTGCTGTTCGACATCTTATATGAACTTCATTTCCATAAATATCACAAGGAATCACCCCTTGAATTCTTTCGTTGTTATTTAGATACACCCTATATATTATGTGCAATTAACGTAGTTACATTGAATGCTAAATGCGACGTTTTATCTATTTTATATTGACTCTCAAGAGGCTGAATTATTTTGGGACGCCAAATTGAGATACTAAGTGTTACTCATACATACTCTCGGGTTATTTCGAGAGCCAAACATCCCGCAAGTATTCCAGGAGGGTGACTGGATGAATTCGGCTTGGAATTTCCGACAGACATACAGGGCGACACTAGAGATTTTGTACCAGTGAACTTTGTTTTCCAAAATTCAGAATCAAATTTATTGATCTTTCAATAATAATAATAAGTGAGTTATTCAACTCACATAACTAAAATGGCATTTAGCGTACGGATATGTACCACGCTAAATGATCGATTAATCACGGATTGACGATCTGTGATTTATTCAAAATATTAAACACGTTTCCATGGCAACACGATTTCTCAAACACATGACCATGGCAACACAGTTCATTAAACACAGTTTCAGTAATTTAAGACATGTCTGGTCTGTCAATTGTATTAACTGTCAACTGTTATATTTCAAATTTTGCATCAGAATTATTCAAACAATATTCGTTTGTATCAGAATTCTTCATTACAAATATATGCGAAATGTAGACGAAAGTGAAATCGAAGAGAATGTTCGCCTGGTACTTGCATATCTCCAAGAAGTGTAAAAATGAAGCATCCATCTTTGAGAACAATTTATTTATTCTGCGCTAAGCATGACAATAAACGTGAAACGGATGGACTGAACACATCTACAACCAATATCACTTATACGTGTCTCGCTGGTTGCATGCAGTTGCATGTATTATGTTCTCAATTCCCATTCCTTTCGAATTATTTTGTTGGTTAGCAGGAATAGCAGGTATGTCAATGTAATTTTCGGAGTTCGTAGGAAAAGCATAGTATGTAACGCGTTTATAAACTCTTCTAGACACTCTTTTATTAAACACTCGCTCCGCTCGTACTTAAAATACTCGTTACTAAAAGGACGTTTATAACACTTGTTACATAATATACTATTATTCACCACTGTACAATAAGACAACAATAATAGAAATAACTAGATTATCTACAAGAAATATACCAATCTCCAGATTCATATGGAGCATGAAGCATATATAGTGTTGAAAGAAGCCAATATAATAGTGAATAAATACAAATACAATAATTAGAATCTCAGATGACAATCAATAATTATACCTAGATATTCAGTTTCTTGTTCCATCGATATAGCAATTGTTTTGTTATGAGAGATGATGAAGTGTTATCTCTCAAATTCAGGCATTGTATTCTCTGTGCTACAAAAGGGAACTATTACGTTTTTTTTTTAAATTGACGCTGAGTAACATGGAATTGAACCAATTTATTACATCAATGAAATCATATTACACTATAGCTTTCAACTCTTTCCAAGAGGAACTTTTGTAGAAGATAACCGTATCGTCAGCAAAGCTGACAGTTTCGCCTTGAATCTCGAGACAATTGATTGAGGTATATGTTGAAGAGAAGTGGACCTAGTACTGTACCTTGAGGTACTCCATATTTTACTATGTATTCACTACTTAATGAATCTCCTATTCTCACCGACTGTTTCCTGTTCGACAAATAGCTTGATAGCAATTCAAATGCTTTTCCTCTAATTCCAATAATCTCCAGCAGTCGTAGCATTTTTTCATGAGAAACAGTGTCGAACGCTCTTGCCAGATCAACGAAGATACATAAGGATGGATTACCTTCATCCATTGCTTGATATATTTTTGAAATTATGTGTGCCATTGCATCTTCGGTTGATCTGGCTTCTCTGAATCCATACTGGTTTTGGAAAACGTTCTTCAAGGTGCCTTCTATGACATTTCACTTGGTTTCAATTGGTAGCTGGTTTTTTTTTGGGGATGTGAAACCTGAATACGGACATCTTTTTCGGAATGGACAAAACTTTTTTCTCAGTGTAGTTTCTGAGTTTTTCCCAGTATAAAAATTGAATTTTCAAAATAATTTTTCGAAGTGTACTTGTTGTATTTAATTTTCAACTTTACCTCCCTGACATATCTCGAAAACGAAGCTATTTTGCTGTAAGGTACCTTCAAATCTGCTTATTTCGATCTCAGGAGAATATGTGCTAAGATTTTGAACAGACCATTTAGGGACATCCTGTATAATACACTTTTTTAATACCCTAGGAATCAGCACATTGATATTTTAACAATGTTAGGGAAACACATTGTTTACCTGTAATCACAATAATATCTTCAAATGAAATTATTCTGTATCAATGCACAATTTTTGGCTATATCAGTGGACTATTAATTATTTAAATTATATAAATTATATAAAAAATGCCGGAGAATTCAATATCCGTAAAGACTGTCGATCATTTTGCGTCATTGCCACGTGTACAATTTAATAAATTCGCTAATCTGCGCATTTTTCTCCTATTTGGATTCTTTCCAGATAATCTGACATTCAGATTAAATTTGTAAATTGAACTGCGTTCTGTTTACACTTGAAATATATTCAGAAATGTCCCCATTAACGTTATTTATGTTCGTTCCTCTTATCCTAAATGGAGTTGAACGATTTTTTTTTTCGGTATATTTATTTTGATTAACGATATCATTGGAATATGATTGCTCAGGATACGATGATTGATGGTTTTTGCCATTTAATTTTCATATCTAGAGGACTCAGGTACTTGTTCAATTTCAAAAATATTGTATAAAGTAAATATTAATGTAACCAAATTGAATGTGTATCAATATATATGACTTTCTCTCAGCTTCCATTATAAAAATTGGTTTTCTGTATAGACCGGATGATCCTATTACTCCATTCTAGTGTATCTCAAATTGGATTACAATTGGATTCTGAGAATCGCTTCTAGTGTCTAGAGAATAAATAACAGTTGATAGGAAGCAGAATGGGTTGTGCTTTTTTTTTTCTTATAAATTATTAAATGAGACGACAAACAACACAACAAACAGGACTGATTCTTAAATTGCGAGTACAATACAGTGAACTTTTTTGCTGTACTTGTTTTTTGTTTTCTTCTTCCTATGTTTACATTGTGCAGCGCAATGAACAAAGGGAACCATGAGTTCATTGCAAATTATCAAATAGGACGACGAACACCACAACAAACAGGGCTGATTTCATTGACATTCTTATTCGAGAATATCACAAATGTGATATCATTTTTTTTTAGTTGAATGACGAATGTTCGAAATATTTATACGCTATTCTGATGTAACCATGTACGTACTTTTATTCTACATTCTGGATATTACCACTTAGAGAATAACATAATTTTTTTTCATGGATGTTTGTGGGAAATGCCTAATTTCCAATCGCGCACTTTCTGATCTGATCTGATTTCAAATCCACATTGCGATTCCCAAATGCAGTCCCCAACCATTTTTCGATTGTATATTTCCATAATACCACCAAGCAATTTCTCTGACGACAAGTCGAATTAACAAAATCTCTGAAATAGTGAGTGGAATTGGAATTTTGAATCATTAAAATCTGTTAGGTACTTCAGTTTTGATAGTGGAAAAAATATTTCCGATGCTTGTGATCTCGCAGAAAACAAACGCTTGGATTGGGCTATTAATCTCTGATCAATGATTCACAAGAGTTTCAGACAAACTTTGAAGCTAATTATCTTCAAACATATTTTTTTTTCGACAAAAATGTATTCTTTCCTTTTGTTTTGTTTTTCTCTCCTATCATCGGAAACACCCAGTATAGGTACCTACCTCGCACATTATATGAAAGTGCTTACTATATAATTATGATGACAAATACATCGAATTTGCATCAAGGGACCCTACTATATAATAGCTCACTTCTCGCCCTAGGTGTACAATGTACTATTATTGTTGGATGACAGTCGACCTTGATTTATTTTTCAGAATCCCGAAGAAATCGCTACATCCCCGAGCGTTGAATCGCCGAAAAGCGAAGAACCAAAATCCGCAGAAGCCGTTACAAACGGAAACGCATCAGCCGAAGAAATCGCCAAACCCGTCGAGGCCAAAATCCTTCCCGAAGAATCCGCTAAAGCCCCCGAGGAACCCAAACCCGACGAACCCAAACCAGCACCCGTCGAGGAACCCAAACCAGCAGTCGTCGAGGAACCCAAAGTTCCCGAACCCGTAGTAGAAAAATCCGTCGAATCCGCTCCCTCTCCCGCCAAGGAACAGGAGGAACCCCAACCTGTAGAACCACCAACCCCCGAGGAGACCAAAGAGGTGCGTAACGAGGAGGTTCCCCCACCCTTGCCTTCCTCCAATCCCCCATCCTCGGTGACGGTATTCGCCGAATCCACTAAAGCAGACGCTCTCGCTGCCGATCAAGTGCCTGTCCTCGAACCTTCGATAGCCGAGTCTCCACCTAGAGCAGCTTCTTCTCCAATCGCTAAAGCCGTTAGTGAACCGCTCCCTGTGGTCGAGACTCTGGAAGAATCTTTGCCTGAGAAGGTTCCAGAAACGCTGCTCGTCCACTCTGATACTACTGTGCCAAAAGACATTGGAACACGAGAGACTGAACAAGAACCTGTCACTGTCCCAAGTCCCGTACAGGTTCTAGAAGAAACTGTCGAAGAAACCCTACCAAAGACTCCTGAAAAGAAAGAAATTCGTCCTGAACTTCCACTTGAAGAAAAATCCGAACTTCCAGGAGAAACTATCACGTCCCTTGTTGAACAAAAGCCAGATGAAGAAACACCCAAGTCACCCATTACCTCTAAAACTATTTTACCTGAAGAACAAACCACCAAGGAATATACTTCCGAGGCAGCTCTAGATAGTCCTATCAAAGATCACGCAAATACTCCTGAATCTTCTGAGATATGTACAAATATTTCCCAATCTTCAAAAACTGTCACTGATGAACCAGCTACAGTAATACCCGAAGTAGTTTCTGAAAGTCAAGAAATGCCCACAGAGTCTGAACCCGAGGAGCTAAAACCTCACAAATCGAACCCAGCTTCAGTAGAAACCATCCCCTCTCCACAACCACTTGAAGACACGCCCAAAGAGTCCCTAGAATCCGTCGAAGCGAAATCTGAGATAATCAGTGAACCTTCTAGTATCGCTCTAGAACAACCAGAAAGTCTTCCAGATCTACCGAAATCACCCGATTTGTCCTCCGAGTCGCTGCCATCTCTTCCTGAGCCCGTCTCCGAATTGGAACCAATGTCCCTACCACCTGTGGAGTCCGTTCCTGATCCGATAGCTACTGACTGCGCATCAGAACTATCACTTCCTGACCCGATAGTTACTGACTGCACGTCAGAGCTACCCCCTCCTGAAGCGGTAGCTACTGATTGCGCCGGCGCGTCAGAGCTATCTCCTCCTGAAGCGGTAGCTACCGACTGCGCGCCAGAGCTATCCCCTCCTGAAGCGGTAGCTACTGACCGCGCGTCAGAGTTACCCCTTCCTGAAGCGGTAGCTACTGACCGCGCGTCAGAGCTATCCCCTCCTGAAGCGGTAGCAATTGACCGCGCGTCAGAGCTATCCCCTCCTGAAGCGGTAGCTACTGATTGCGCCCGCGCGTCAGAGCTATCCCCTCCCTCTGACAGTCCGGTCCTAACGAACGGGAGCACCAATGGACTGCCTTCGCCCAAAGAAGTGGCGGTGACAGCTCGGAAGTCGATAGAAGGACCAATCAAACAGGTGAATAGTGCTGTCCCCGAATCTGAACAGTGATTTTGTTTTCTTCCTGCTGCATTTTCCACGAAATTTGTATTTAACCTAGTTGCCTGATGTTTTTAGATGAGTGTTCTGATTTTAGGTAGGAACTTCGAATCCTTTTTGATCAATTGAATGAACTAACATGCCTGAATCCATACTAATACGTCCAAGGTTTTTTTTTTCATTTGTACTCATACTAGGGAAGATGTCTTATTCATTTGTCAGAGCTTGAGATAACCTAGTTGCCCAATGCGTATTTTGGACTAGAAACTTGCAATGTTTTGGGATTCATGCTAACATACCGGGAGTAACCTTATGGAATGAACAAAGAGTTTAATGTTTTTTAGGTAGAAACTTCGGATCCTTTTTGATTAATTGAATGAACTAACACGCCTAAATCCATACCAAAACGTCCAAGGTTTTTTTTCATTTGTACTCGTACTAGGGCAAATGTCTTTTTAGTCATTTGTCAGAGCTTGAAATAACCTAGTTGCCCAATGTTTCATAGCATTTTTTGGACTAGAAACATGCAATGTTTTGGGATTCATGCTAACACACCGGGAGTAACACTATGGATTGAACAAAGAGTTGAGGGTTTTTTTTTGGTAGAAACTTCGAATCCTTTTTGATTAATTGAATGAACTAATATGCCTGAATCCATACTAAAACGTCCAAGGGTTTTTTTCCATTTGTACTCGTACTAAGGAAGATATCTTCTTATTCATTTGTCAGAGCTTGAAATAACCTAGTTGCCCAATGTTTCTTAGCCTATTTTGGACTAGAAACTTGCAATGTTTTGGGATTCATGCTAACATACCGGGAGTAACCTTATGGAATGAACAAAGAGTCTAGTGTTTTTTTTAGGTAGAAACTTCGAATCCTTTTTGATTAATTGAATGAACTAACATGCCTGAATCCATACTAAAACGTCCAAGAGGTTTTTGTACTCGTTATAGGGAAGATGTCTTCTTATTCATTTGTCAGAGCTTGAAATATACCTAGTTGCCCAATGTTTACTAGCATATTTTAGACTAGAAACTTGCAATTTTTCAGGGTTCTTGCTAACATACCGGGAGTAACCTTATCGAATGAACTTAGATTTTCGAACCCTACTGAAACATCAATAGGAAATTTCCCTCTCATTCGAACTCGAACTTGAAAAGATTCCTTCATTAACCGTTAATTGTCTCTTGAATGTTTTCTCCGTGTTGGGTTTTATAATAATTTTTGTTTTGTTAATGTTTTTTGGATCAGAAACACGAAATCTACCTTGTTGATTGAACTGATATGTCTAAACCCTATTCAAGCATCAATGGGATTTTATTCTTCCTAGGAAAGGTTATCTCTTATCCGACCATTCATTTTTTCCTTCTGTATCATGACAGAACATGAATTGCCCATGCCTAATGATTTTGTTAGTGTTTTTCTGAACAAGAAACTCGAAATATTATTGAAATGTATGCTAACATACTGAGTGATGCCTACCTTATTGAATGAACTAATATGTCTGAACCCTACTAAAACATTACTGTGATCTTTTTCCTTTTGTCTTACTTGTTAATAGGGAATAATCTAATCCTTTTATTACTAAAGAAAATGAAATTAGTTCGTCAGTGTTTTTATGCCACAATTTATTCTATTTCCAGGTCCTCGCAGAACCTACAAATGAAGTGCGACAAGAGGAGGGAGAAAAGAAAGATTCACCAGTGGTAAGATTCTCAATTTTATTTTCTGTTCAATTTTATGTTAACTTATGTCTACTTGAAGTAATTATTCTGAAACTGACTGTGGTTAAATCAATATGGCTGCTAAACTAAATTGAGATGCACTGTACATTTTAATTTTGCACAACAAAAATTGAAATTGTAAAGAATGAACCTTTCCAGTATCGTAAAATTCCACTTCGTCGCTATAATGTTATAAAAGGGAAGTCAAAAACGTCATCCTGACCACATATTTATCGAAATAACCGAACAACAATATTAAAAATAATATTTCAATACCTGTGAATGCGAACGCTACTGAGCTGTGATGTCAGTGTCTTCTTGCAATTTGATTGGTTGGAGTTTGTGACGGCTGGGAAGCATCCCGCTGTTGCCAGGTCTCTATGTTATCCTTGAATTAAGCTAATGTGCAAGATTGTGCAAGGCATGCCATGATTCAAAATTATTATGTAGTAGGTGATTAGTTGATTGGTCATTCACTGCTGATCACATTCAGGCATCTCAACAGTAACTTACTGTTACTGTCAATAATTTTCATATGGTTTGGTTTGAGTTATGATGTCATGATTCTGTTGACTAATTGTAATGATCAACGAATTGAACAGTGTTACTATATCTCAAGTACTCATTCCCAGAAAATTATCTTGAGGTATTCCGAGCCATGTGTTTCCAGATATAACTTTTCTAGAAATGACTGGAAATGCTCATTGTGAATACCTAATCCAAATGTCATCAAGATGACATAGAACATTTAGGAAACAAGTTGTCTATCTCTGTCTTCACGATTTGAGTCGCCATTAGGGGACTATGTAGATAACACTTTATACAGTGTGACCCACTTCTAATGGAAACACCCCTGTATCTAAAGTAATCCTTGGGTAAGGACTAACTATTCATATTTTTCCTGAAGATTTTTCAGTTCTGAAAAATTCAATTTTGTCGCACATTTTACGGAAGCACCCCCGTATCTGAAGTAATCCTTGGGTAAGAACTAACTATTCATATTTTTCCTGAAAATTTTTCAGTTCTGAAAAATTAAATTTTGTCGCACCTTTTACGGAAGCACCCCCGTATCTTTGCACTTTCCCTTCCTCCTGCAAATTTCAGAACCTTACCTCAATAATTATGTGAGATACGGGGGTGCTTCCATGAGAAGTGAGACAAAATTTAATTTTTCAGAACTGAACAGTTTCTAGGGAAACTATGAATAGTTAGTGAATCGGGCGTCCTGATTCCGAATCCGAAGTGATTCTCAACCTAGTTTGACTCCTAATATCATTTTCTGGAAATTGATGTGATTCCATGGCTGTTGACGAGCAGTGTATATCACTGAAGGTGACTCCACTTGGTCATAGAGTGTATTTTTGGTATACCGGGTGGCTACGGAAGTATTGCCTACGGAATATCTCAGTTATTGTATGAAGTAGGTTTGTGAAATTTGAAGCGTCGATATAATGACATAAGAGCTAGAATTTGAGCATATTGACATGTCGAAGTTAACTTCCGGTCTGACCGGAAGTAACATCAACTCTCTTATTTGAAATGGAAACCCATTTTTTTTTTCTTTTCGCTTTATTCAGCACTCAATTCCCTTTCTAATGACATATCACAAGTTGGTATCTAACCAAAAACTAGATCAGGAAAAAATTATTATTGAAATTCACCGAGTAGGCAGTGGAAGCAAAATGAAATCCAAAAATTGAAAAGTTGGCTATGGAAACCATACGTCACTTGATAACAGTTGCTACTACTGTGATATTTTATTTTCATCCGTCGGCGTTATAAAAAGCCGCCAAAAAAAATATTGGAAAAATTGGGAAAAAACAATACTCTGTAGGTCCATAACTTAAATAGGAACATACAACTCTTTCTTGCCTGTACTATTCAGCATAACCATTCCTCTCTAATGATATAATAGAAACTGATTTTTTGGCTTTCATTTTGCTTCCACGGCCTACTCGGTGAATTTCAATAATAATATTTTTCTGATCTAGTTTCTGGTTAGATACCAACTTGTGATATGTCATTCGAAAGGAAATTGAATGCTGAATAAAGCGAAAAGAAAAAAAAAAGGGTTTCCATTCAAAATAAGAAATTTGATGTTACTTCCGGTCAGACCGGAAGTTAACTTTGACATATCAATATTCTCAAATTCTAGCTCTTATGTCATTATATCGACGCTCCAAATTTCACAAACCTACTTCATACAATAACTGAGATATTCCGTAGGCAATACTTCCGTAGCCACCCGGTATATCTCGCTCCAGCAAATTTCAGGATTCTTACCTAACGATTACGTAAGATACAGGGGTGTTTCCATCAGTAGTGGGTCACACTGTATACAGGACGACTCAATACTATGTATTATACCTATTATTTTTTCTTTCAGGAAGCAGCAGCAGTAGAAGAATAAGGTCTCTATGATAAATACTGTTTTTATATTATACATAATGATTATGGACTCTTGATATCACATTTTGAAAGAAAGTAGTTGAAAATTGTCATTCCTGGCAGTGTTGGGGCTTTCGACCAAAACAGAAGGAAGATTAACTGCCATTCAAATTACAACCTAAAAAAAAATAATCAATGTCCGTCGCGCAACATTGAAAAAACAATGTAATCCAGAAGGTTTAATACTCCTGATATTAAAATATTTTATATTGTCTTTCGTAGAGGTTTTGGACAATTTTTTATATGTCGTTCAAACGACTTTTTTATCGTATACAATTGTAAAATAAAAGAGTTAGTATAGTTTTTAGTATTCCTTAGGAGAGCTTATTGATTTTCCTGTTTTTTTTTAAATGAAGAAAGAACACGTTTTATTCAGTTATATGCGAATTGAAATTAATTGAGTGTAGTTGAAATTTATATTTTCTGAGTGTAGCGCTTAACCCTTTCAAATGAGTCACATATCCTACATACTAAGAAAATGAGGTCACAGGGTGTTGATTAGAAATACGGCTAAACTTCAAAGGGCGAATCTAAGATGAAAACACGATTAAAAAATGGAAAATGGGTGCGAAACGGAAAAACAGGGTGTCTCCGTATATTTTGACTCTCTACCTACAGCTTCAACTATACGAGGTGGAGTAAAAATCAAATATAAAAGTTGCAGGATTTCATCTGTACTATCTTTTGGCAATCCTTTGACGAACTTAAAATGAGAAGAAGTCTATATATTTTCATTTGAGAAAACTGATTGGACTCCTTTTTTTTATATTTCGCGATTCGCATCTGTTTATTTTAAGGTGTGCCAAAAGATAGTACAGATGGAACCCTGCAACATTCATATTTGATTTTTTTTCCACCACGTATGGTTGAAGGTGTAGGTAGGGGTCAAAATATAAAGGGTTTCCATGGAGCTTTTCAAAATAATCTGTTTTTTGTAAATATCAAAATTTTTGTTCATAGTGGTGAGAGGCCTAATTTAGCCATAGTCGGATTTACATAAGACGATTTTTTTCAGAAATTCTCGACATCCTGTATCTATGCATTTTCAGATATCTGTCAATATGAACTCTTCGTCTTTTAGAAACACTTGAAACATTACCCCTTGGAGTTTGGCCATAAACTTGATTAACACTTTGTATACTAAAAATGTGTTCCATCTGAGAACGTTTTAAAAAAGCGTTCGATTGAGAGAAATCCAGCACTTTTCAATATACATGAAATCTGATTGAGGAGAAGAGATGCTGAATGATTTGAAAAAATAAATGTTTGTAGAATAGGTAGTCGGCTGTCCTAAAATTATTAGTCTAAAGTGTGCTTCATGTATTTTATCTGCTTTTGGCAGCTACATCGGCCATATCTCACACTCGTTCGATATTTTTCATATTGGTATCCAAGAAAACAGAGAATGTTCAATATTGATTTACAGGGTGATTACTAGATGCGTGGCGGAAATTTCGGTAAAGATTCAACACTGTTCTTCCCAAAGTATCATCATCAGGGTAAAATGCTTCTGCAATTGATTCCTTGCAACTTAAGAACCATTTGTTTTTTTAACTTAGCAACCCTCTGGGGCGGCTTAGGGTTCGTATAATTTTTAAGGGTGTTGATAAAAAACATATTGAGATATCTAGCCTCAGTCACAAAGTTCATAATGTTCCAAAATCAGTTGAAAATTGCCAGACCAGTTTAAGTTGTCTAGCAAACCACACTACAGTGTGTCCACCTTAAGGACTTACCACCCCTGTAAAATCGTTATTATCCGACCGATTTCAAAAAACCTTTTTTTGTTGGATAGGTATTTGAAATGCCCATCCAACGAGAGAGTGATCTAATTCTTGGACTGTTATCGTGGCGAACTGTGACAAATTTCAATGACCCATATTTCAGAAAGTACTATTAGGGATTTTTTTCCACGAAACTCGATGATGGATTCTGAATCAGTACCACTTGAAATATACCTGTACCGATTTTCATCATCATAAAACACAGGGTGACTGAAAAAACGAATCATCATTTTCTTCAAATAGGTGATCAGCAAATGTAGTTCTGTGGTTTTTCTAGGAAGAAATAATCACAAATTATCATTGAGGATTATTTCGAATATACCTGTACCAATTTTCGTCATTTGAATATACAATGTGTCTGAGAAAAAAATTAAAAAGGATAGGTAAGCAATATTTTTCATCCTGATAATTCTTCACTCAAAATAAAGAGATGAATCTGGATCACTTGGAACATACATGTACCGATTTTCATCATCATTAAACACAGGGTGTTCGAAAAATCAAATTAATATTTTTTTTTGAGTTGATGAAAAAATATTGCCTACTTTTTATTTTTAATTGTTTTCTCATACACATCGTATTTTTGAATGATGAAAATCGGTACAGATATGTTCAAAGTGATCCTCAATAATAATGTGTCATCAATTCTTCTCAAAAATACCACAATACTACATTTTCTGATCACCTATTGAAAAAAATAATTCGTTTTTTCGGACACCCTGTCTTTTATGATGATAAAAATCAGTAAGAGTGTTTTTCAAGTGATCGTTATTCAGAATCCATCATTGTTTTTTGTGAAAAAAAATCCCTAATAGTACTTTCTCAAATATGGGTCAATATAGTTGGTCGCAGTTGGCCACGATTACAGTTCATGAGTAAAATCACTCTCTTGTTGGATGGACATTTCAAATACCTATTCAACAAAAAAAAGTTTTTTGAAATCGGTCAGATAATAACAATTTTACAGGGGTGGTAAGCCCTTAAGGTGGACACACTGTATATACGGTAATATCATCAGGGTGAATTCGATTAATTATAAATATTTGAATGCATCTACGGAAAGCAAGACCTACTTGATTGGTTATGCTGTTTGTGGGTGCATTCAATGATGATAATTCTATTCCATCCTGATTATTGTACCATGAATAGTGCAGTTTTAGTCGACAGCTTTGAACCCCTCTGACACACCAGGTCTAGCAATTTGTTTACTATTTTGAACACTATCAATTTCAATATGCCAGAGAGGTGAAATGATGATAATTTTCATTTTTGATTTTTGATCTTGAGAATTCTAAGAGCGCCAAACATACCCCAGAAAAGAACTCCAATTTTCTTCTTCTCGAGTTGTAAGGAACTATTTGTAACTATTGGATCATTTTATGGTTATTTCATCAAGTAAAGTGTCCACAACTCCATCTGCCTGTAAATGAAAAAAAACAGCCTTACCTTACATGTTTGTTGGTTCTTCTGGAATCAATAGAACATCCCTGTATATTTTCTTAGATACTTGAATCTGTTGATTGAAGGAAGAAGAAAATTCCGTGTAATGTTGTTTTTAATGAAAATGCTGATGGAATGATCTAGTTATAGAACAGGAAATGTCCACTTTCCCGCACTCATTTTAGAAATGTCACTTTCCAGCACTAGTGCGCAAATCGGCCATCTGCAATCGCGTGCGGGATATGACTTTCCGCACTTGTTGAGTAAACTACTATTTTCTACAAATATCCAAAAATGACATGGTTCGCGCAGTGATAACGATATGAGAAGTGACATTTTTTCATTTTCCTATGTTACCATTACATTGCGCGAAACAGTGTGCTAAGTAAAATTGTGCGCGAATTACATACTTTGCGCACTGCTTGTAAACTTTATGAAATGTTTGTATTTCAACCTTTTTGGTCCTCAATCCAAGCAGAAATCTGAGAAATCATGCAATTATTTCTTAACGTTACAACAAATATTAACAATAATTTAGGCTTTTCTAGCCAGTTCACTATTTTTTCTATTGCTAGGCACATTACTCATCATAGAACGATATTTTTTGACGTTTGTAGAAAAAAATGTACCATTTCGCCCACTAGATACGATAATAACTAATAAGAAACGTTCAGTGAATCACGAAAATTTTCGTGCCATTGCTCAAATTTCCGAATGTAGGTAATATAAAAATTCACCAATTGCAGATTCCGAGATTCCATTTACATTTTCAAAAATTTCTGATTTCCAGCTGAATATGGTAGGTAAGGTACAAGGTAGGTATGTTTATACCGGGTGACACAGGCTATCGGGCCACCCCTGTAACTTCTGCATTCGTCAACGGATTTTTCTGAAATTCGGTACAATTGTATAAGCAACTATTTCGGATTTGATCACATTACAACCCAATATGGCGGACTTCCGGTTTTTCTAGAAATGCCAGCAATTTTGTTTTTTCAAATGGAACACCCTGTATATTTTTACATATTCAAGTTCAACAGGTCAAAACAAGTGCAATCTTGATGTCAAATGTCATTTATTCCACAGCCTACCTAGTTGAAAAATTATTCTATGCAAGGAAATTCATAAACTAGTTGTTGATTTTTGAATGTATACAATTTGTTACTGCACCGAAAAACAAATATGATATTTCATTTTGTTCCTTAATGTATGTTCTAGAGAAACGGGCACGTGGCCCATAGGGGTTCCATTTGAAAAAAAAAATGTTTGATCAAAAAGTGATGTGGCTGAATTGATTCCTGGATAAGTGACACAAAAAATAATTTTTCAGAAAAAATTATGTTCTTCTGTTATGTGTGACTAATTGTGAATAGTCTTGACCACATCTCATTTATCCACGAGGTAAAATGAAAAAACAATTTTAATTCAATTTTTTTCGAAAAAATGACATTTGGAATGAAGATTGCACTTGTTTCGACCTGTTGAACTTGAATATGTAAAAATATACAGGGTGTTTCATTTGAAAAAACAAAGTTGCTGGCATTTCCAGAAATACCGGAAGTCCGCCATATTGGATTGTAATGTAATCAAATCCGAAATAATTGCTTATATAACTGTACCGAATTTCAGAAAAATCCGATGACGAAAGCAGAAGTTACAGGGGTGGCCCGATACCCTGTGTCACCCGGTATTCCTCTCACAACAATCAAAGATCCAATGCTGGTGCTGCTCAAAGTTATTATTCCTCTGCTGCTCTTCAATATGAAAATTCCGTTTGAAAAATACCAAATGATTGTGAGAATTTTATACATATAATTAATTGTATAGTTGGGAACTAAGGAAAGTTTACAAGGTTTACAAATTTGTACATTGCACAACGAAAATTGATTTTTAACTCTTGTTTAGGTTGTCTCAAAATTTTAATATGTTAGTATAGTTTTTTAAGCGAGGAATCTAGTTTTGAATTTACCAACTTGAAACTATATTCTATCTTTGTGTATTCCACAGCTCTTTGATATTTCGTCACCTTTATAACCATCGACTTATCAAAACGGCTGTGCCTAGGAAAGAAAAGA